ATGTGTGTCAGAGTATGTATCCTTAAGTATGTCAGAGTATGTATATATGGGTCTGTGTATCTGCATGTGCACGTGTGTCAGTGTATGTATCACTGTGCATCTGCATATGTGTCTGTATCTGCATGTGTGTCAGAGTGTGTATCTGTTTGTTAGTGCTTTTAGGGTGTGCATCTGTATGTGTGTCAGGGTATATATCTGTATGTATGTCTGCATCTGCATGTTTGTCTATGTATCTGCATGAGTATCAGAGTGTGCATCTGTTTGTCAGTGTGTCTGTGTGTCAGGGTATGTGTCTGTATGTGTGTCAGTATGTGTATTTGTATCTGCATGTGTGTCAAGGTGTGTATCTGCGTGTCAGGGTGTATATTTGTGTGTCAGGGTGTGTATCTTTACGTGTGTCAGTGTGTATCTATGTGTGTGTATCTGCTTGTGTGTCTGTGTATCTGCATGGGTGTCAGAGCGTGTATCTGTTAGTCAGTGTGTCTGTGTGTCAGGGTATGTGTCTGTATGTATGTCAGGGTGTGTATGTGTGTCAGGGTATGTATCTGTGTGTCTGACACACAGATACATACTCTGACACACATACAGATATACACTCTGACACCCTCCCTTTTTTGGTTCTGTTGGCATTTTCTCGCTTAGTCACAGCAGCAGGATTAGGGGTTGGCGGGGTAAAGTGAGCCAATAACATGCAGGGTTAGGTTGAGTGGAAAATACTCACGAGGGTTACAGTGGTTTCGTAGGTTCAAGGTCGTCGATGGCTCTGAACCCAGGGGTGTAGGGGTATCTCGGTATACCCCTACAGTTTGTTCTATAATATTGGTAAACATGCCACTTGGTTGGTGTGTTATGGGTTATGTGATTATTATTCTTGTTATATTATGGTTTATAATCATGTATGGGGGTCATTGCCAGGGTTAATTTCCCTTGGGTGGGAGAGGGGTATTTTAGTATGTGTGTTAAGTGTTGGCAATGACCTTATGTTATACAATGTTTTAATAAAGCTGTGGACAAAATTTTCCAATATTAAAATGGTAGCCTGTGTTTTATTGGGAATGGGTATTAAGGTTAAGCTGGATATGGTGGAAAAGGCGGCTATGTGCATATCAAGTAGATCTTATCTACTAGGATTTCTCTAAAACTCTTGATAAGTTCAACACAAAAGCTCACTAGTAAATTGGATAAATTGGAGGACTGGGCAGGCAAGTGGCAGATGAAATTCAATACAGATAAATGCAAAGTCATGTATTTTGGAATAAGGAATCCACAAGCCACTATACATTAAATGGAGTTGAGGTAGGGACAACATTAAATGAAAAAGACGTGGGAACAATTATAGATCAGAAATTAGGCAACAGTATGTAATGCTGATCTGCTGTTGCATAAGCAAGTAAGGTGCTTTCGTGTATAAAAAGGGGTTTTTATTCACGTTGCACAAATATAATTTTGCCTCTTATATTATAAATGAATGGTAAGACCCCACCTTGAATATGCAGTGCAATTGTAGGCACAAGTTTTAAAGGAGGATATTGCAGAACTAGAAAAAGTGCAGAAAAGATCTACAGAATTAATAAGGGGGATGGAAAACATTAGAAGGCTAGAAAAACCTTTTTTCTTTACAAAACAGGTACCTCAGAGGGCATATGATAGCACTATACAAATATATACAGGGTTAATACAAACTGCTTTGGGCTAACCCTGCAGTTCCCAAACTGTGTGCCGCGGCGCCCCAGATATATTTTCCCGGTGCTATGATGATAGCACCAGGAACCGTGCCTTCCTCTCCCCTGCCGGCTCTGCAGGGGAGAGGGATCTCCCTCTCCAGCCCGCTAGCACTGAAATGCTGCAGCTGGCAGGGGAGGGAGGGAGAGAGGACGCTGGGGAGCTCTAACTTGCAGCTCCGCCAGGTTCTTCTCTTGCGAGCTCGGAGTGTTGCCGCGGTTACCATGGCAACGCTCCGAATGTTGCGAGCGTGAACTCTAGCAGCTCCTGAGGCTGCTAGAGTTCACTCTTACCACTTGGACCACCAGGGCTTCTCCATCGGACCACCAGGCATTAGTACTGTCCCCCCTCACAGGCAAAGGTAAGCAGGGAGGGGGGATATTAAAATAATAATTATTGTTTTTAAATTTAAATTAAATTAAAAAAACCTTTTATTAATTAAAATAAAAAACATAAAAGTATATATTTATCTGCCCTCCTACTCCCAAAAAACGCACTGCCCCTCCATACACACACTGTACCCTTCACACACTGTACCCCTCACACTGTACCCCTCATAACTTGCCCCCACACACACTGTACCCCTAACACACAAACTGCCTCACATTCACACATACTGCACCCCTCACACACACATACTGCATACTTCACACACACAATACATCCTTCACAAACACAATGCACCCCCATACTTTCACTGCACCCCACACACTGTACCCCTCATGCAGAAACTGCCTCCATACACTGCACTGCACCCCTCACACACATACACAGCATCCTTCACACACACATACTGCATCCTTCGCACACACACTACATCCTTCACAAACACAATGCACCCCCTGTACGCTCACTGCACCCCATACACTGAACTTGTCACATGCACACACACTCCACCACTCAGACGCTCACATATTGCACACCTCAGACACACACATATTGCACCCCTCAGACACACTACTGCCCATATCTACTTCTACAGCCCCTATCCCGGCAGATCCCAGGTAGGTTGTCAAACTGTTCTTAAACAGTTTGACTGCTTACTCTGTGAGGGCACTACGGCACTATTGGAACCATAACCACTACAAAGTGCTGTAGTGGTTATTGTACCTGGATTGTTTCTTTAAATAATCTACCAGATCAGGTTCTGGAGCTGCGCTTGAACGGCAAGCATTTCTGCCTACCAGTATATGCCGCTGCGGTGTACAAATACAACCTAGGAAATTATTTTAACTTGGGGAGCCTTGGAAAAAATATTGAAATATTAAGTGCGCCTTGAACCTAAAAAGTTTGGGAACCATTGGGCTAACCTGTTCATTAGCAGGAATATACAAACAAGAAGTCACTGAATGAGACTGGAAGACAGGTGTTTTCCTTTACAGCAGAAAAAAGGGCTCTTTACAGTAAGAACAATAAAAATGTGGAATTCTCTGCCTAAGGATGTTGTGTTATCAGATTCTATAGACACATTTATAATATGCTTGGATGCCTTTTGGCATAAAGAGAATATTCATGGATATACTTGATATGTATATAAACAGGTTGTTAATCCATGGAGAAATCGGATTGCCATTATGGAGTAAAGAAGGTTTTTTCCCCCTTTTTGAGGCATACCTGGAAATGGCTACAATAGTTTTTTTGCCTCCTTTTGGATCAAAAAATGGGCTTAATGGTTGAACTTTATGGGCTTTTTTCAACCTAGACAACTATGTAACTATATAACTTTGAATTATATATACTCTTTACTGGGTTGTGATTTTTTTACAGAGACAGATGATGTCATAAGTGTGTGCGACCAAGCACACAATCACAAACCACCAAACTGACCTATAGTATAAATGGAGGCAAAGAGAAGCATTCCGCGTCAATTACGTCAAAAGGATGCACCATGCTGCTAAGGAGGTGAGCAATGTTTGGCCGTGGCCCGTGAGGCACCACAAGGGACAGGTACCGTCACACATCTCATTCCTAAAGGGATATTTTAAGCACCAAAACAACTTTAGCTTAATGAAGCTGTTTTGGTGTATAGATCATGCTCCTGCAGTCTCACTACTCCACTCTCTGCCATTTAGTTGTTATTTCAATGTCTTTTGGCTAAAAAAATGGTTTCATTTTCAATCTGTATAGTTTTTCTTATCTCCACTCTGTTAATTGAGCGTTAATAACACACAGAAGGTTCTAGCAGGTTATTAACAGGGCTTATAAATTAAAAAGATTTTGCAATAAAAAAAATACTTTTAACATTAGATCTCTCTTTACAGGAAATGTGTAGGAAGGATGTATAGATCACATAAAAGGGAGGTGTGGCTAGCGCTGAAAAAACAAAGTGATGTGAGTCATGAATGGCAGAGAATGGAGCAGTGAGACTGCAGAGACATAATCTATATACCAAAACCACTTAATTGAGTAAATTTGTTTTAGTGCATAGAATGTCCCTTTAAAGATTTTATTGCAACATGGCACTGCACAGTGTACATAAAATAACATTAAAAAGTTCTAGTTCTCCTGGAAGCCAGATCGGCTTACAAGTAAGGCATACTTGTAATATCGGCAGCTTAAATTACAGATTCTTAGTCTATCCTTACATCAAATGTTGCATCGAATTTTGTCACTCTAGTGTCACTTACTATGCCAAAGCAAAATTGCCACAACCTGGTGGTTTATCGCTTATCACTTACCTATCTCACCTACTGCTCAAACTTTATTGCTAAGTCTTCTTAAATATGCACTATGCTTGGCTCACTATATAAAAAATTTTTGCTGAATTCTGTGTACAACTGTTTATATCTGACAAACCTATTCTTTGTTATATTTGTATATTGTGCAATCTTTGTATTTTCACATGCACAACAAAAATAAAGAATTAAAAAAAAAAAAGTCCTAGTTCTTTATAGTTCTTCCATAATTAAAAGTGATGCTATAATGTGATTGACTATATGTGCCACCTTCACAAAATTATCATATGGAAACAAGAAAACAGTGCAGCATCTTAGGACAACTGCATGACTGGAAATCCAATGATTTGTGAGGTTTGTACTATGGCAGTGATGTCATCAGGGCCATTAGCGTCAGGATCTCTCTATACACTGCTGACCCAAAGCTAACCATATATTATTACCCTCCAATGCACAGGTCAGAGAGTGGAGGAAGAAGGAAATAAATTGTAATTTAATTTACTGGGTCCAGGCTATTTTTGAGAATCCCTATACAAACACAAAGATAAAGCACCGCGCTTACAGCAGCAGTAGCTTAGTATCCAACAGCTTAAAATACGTAGTAAAAACAAAGAGAACGTTACCTGCGCTCTGGCCTAAGCTTATTTAGGCCAGAGCGCAGGTAACGTTCTCTTTATTTTTGAGAGTCCCTGTCTATTTGTCAGTTTTTTTCATACATGGTCCCCTACAGTTAGACCAGTGTTTTTAATGTAAATCAATGAGGCTTAATGTTTTGTATATGTTTCTTTTGGTGCTGTATCTGAGAGTTGCTCCAACAAAGAATGACAAAGTGGGGCGATAGGAGACATTCCACTGATGCATTGCTCATTAATGGTGATGTGGGACACAGTGAGGAGACATGATGATGAGCCAGACTCCAGACGGTAACTGTTATATGCAGCTGCTGCCATATACCTCCCACTAACAACACATTTCAAATGGCTTGGGTTTGTGTACAGTTGTGTTAGGGTTAGCATTAGCGTTTGTATTCTTTAATATTGGCGCAGCACTATGATATACATATCATAGGCACAACCCTTGTCACAGCTACAATTCCTCTCGTCTCATTTAGGTAGAGGCCAAAGTTGTGCGGCATGGTATATTCTCTACATAAACTTGCATTAAAAAGGACATTATTATAGACAAGTGAAGCTCATTTGCTCATAGATTACGTTGAGAAACGCGTTTGGCAACAGCCCTCACTGAATTGAGAAAGCAGGAAATGTGAAATTAACAGCTTAGACATGCATTAAAGAGTAACATTCGGCTATGATAATGTTAATTTGTGCATGAGCTTAATTTTAGAAAGTACAATATTTGATACACACACATACACTATATGGACTAAAGTATTTGGACTCCTGATCATTACACCAACAGGGACTTTTATGAAATTTTATTCTAAATATTTAGACATTAATATGTGGTTGGTTCCCTCTTTGCAGCTACAAAAGCTTCCACTCTTCTGTGAAGGCTTTCCACAAGATTTTGTGTAAATTTTTGCCCATTTATCCAGTAGAGAATTTGTGAGGTCAAGCATTGATGTTGGACGAAAAGGCCTGGCTCGCAATTCCCGTTCATCCCCAAAGGTGTTTGATGGGTTTGAGGTCAGGGTTCTATGCCGGGCCATTCAGGGTCTTCCACACCAAACTCACCCAACCATATCTTTATGGACCTTGCTTTATGCACTGGGGCACAGTCATGTTGGAATAGAAAAGGACCTTCCCTAAACCGTTCCCACAGAGTTGGAAGCATAGCATTGTCGAAAATGCTGAAGCATTAAGATTTTCCTTCACTGGAAGTAAGGGGCCTAGCCCAAACCCTGAAAAACAGCCCGATACCATGATTCCTCCTGTACTAAACTTTGAGTTGGCACAATGCAGTCAGGCAGATAATGTCTGCCAAAACCCAGACTTACCCATCTGACTGCCAAACAGAGAAGCGTGATTTGTCACTACACAGAACATGTTTCCACTGCTCCAGAGTCCAGTGGTGGCATGCTTTACAACACTCGATCTGACGCTTGACATTGTACTTGGTAGTTTGAGCCATGAATGCAGCTGCTCGCCACAAAAACCCAATTCATGAAGCTCCGTCACACAGTTTTTGTGCTGATGGAAGTTTGGAACTCTTCAGCGATGGAATCACCTGAGCATTGGTTACTTTTACTTCAGCACTCAAAGACACTGCTCTGTCACTTTATAAGGCAGGGGTTCCCAATCCATGTAACACATACCCCAATTCAGTGCCCCAGGGGGTACGCAAAATAATTTTCGTAATGGTGGCCTCGCGGGTTGGGAACAAAGGCCCGGTTTACCGTGACTCCCATGGACCGACAGGGGACATCACAGTATCTCCCCTGCCAGCCCTAGCTGGGCTAGCGCTATCCGAGCCAGAGGAGCTGCAGGCTGAGTAGTGCTGCTCATCTCCACCGGACCACCAGGGCAATGTCCCCTCTCCCTGTGGAAAAGGTAAGAAGAGGGGAGAGGGGACATACAGTTTTTTTATACATATATATTTCCAGACAGATACACACCCTGACACACATGCAGATACAAAGACACATAGATACATACACTGACATACCTTAAGTATACAGTATCCTTACGTATGTATCCTTAAGTATGTCAGAGTATGCATATATGTGTCTGTGTCTGCATGTGCATGTTTGTCAGTGTATGTATTGCTGTGCATCTGCATATGTGTCTGTGTATTTGCATGTGTGTCAGAGTATGTATCTGTTTGTCAGTGTGTCAGGATGTGTATCTGTATGTGTTTCTGTGCATCTGCATGTTTGTCTGTGTATCTGCATGGGTGTCAGAGTGTGATAAGTAATTTTGGAAGGTGGTGACAGTATGGGGATGATAATTTAGGGGGGTGACAGTGTGGGAGGTTGTGACAGTGTGGGAGGTGGTTACAGTGTAGGGGAATGGTGACAGTGTGGGAGGTGGTGACAGTGTTTCACATTGTGACATTGTGGAAGGTGGTGATAGTGTGGCCTTTTACTTGTGGTCAGAACTTAATTTGTATATGGAAATAGAGAAAAGGGTGGAAAGTTGGTGGTGGTGTGCTGAAATCAACGTACCGGTAGGCCTGTAATTTAAAGAGGGCTAAGATATTGCAGTAAAACACTTTATTGCATAATTATAATGCTAAATATGTAAAGGCTTTCCTGAGTTCTTTCTCAGGTTGTGGGATATAGGTGTTGTAGACAGAGGATTTCCATCTGCCCAGTCTTTTAATGATATGGACTGGTGTGTCCGTAACGAGGCGGGGTTATGTCCCAATCTTAGCAGCAGTGTTGTAACGTGGAATATAAACTTGGAAGTGGTAAGTGGGTGTCCGTGAAGAAGTAGTAAGGGAGAGTTAGGTGGGAGACTGTTGCACGTGGATAGAAATAAGTAAAGATCAGGGTGTTGCAGTGGATGTGATCTACTAAATTCTCGGGATGAAAATATAATTTTGCATCTTTATAAGTTGCTGGTAAGACCACACCATGAATATGCTGTGCAATTTTGGGCACCTGTTCTAAAGAAGAATATCATGGCACTAGAAAAAGTGCAGAGACGAGCTACAAAATTGATAAAAGGAATGGAGCATTTTAGTTACGAAGAAAGGTTAAAAATTTAAATCTCATCCCGGTCCCCACTGGGAGAACGGACTGAGGCACCAACCATTACCCCAACTGACTGGACACAGCAGTCGCCTCAAGGTACTCCGACCTCACAAAATGGCAGAGGCCCTACCACAAGCACCACAAACTCCCACAAAGGCACGAGGGACGATCCCAGACACTCTTGAATCCAGACTGGACGCATTGTTCCAGGCATTTTGGGACAAACTACAGACCCGTGCCAACCCAACCAGAGTACGGAATGGGAGGCAGGAGATACCCCTCTGGGCAATATACTTACCATACCGCCTCATTGCACCAACGGCTCCCCTCCTGGGCTGATAGCCAATAGAGGCATGGCCTCGAGACATCGACCACACAGGGGGAAGAACTCACACCGCAGGCAGTGGATGTCACCGCGATTTTCCAACTGCCCCTTGGGGGGCCAGGACTGGGCCACACGTAGGTACCGAGTCCGTGGTCAGAGGGTGTCAGCTATCACAACAGCCTGAGACTGGAGGACAATCTCCTGCACCTGTTGCCCATCAGTTGAACCCGACACTCACCACAAACAGCCAACTAACCACTAAGCTGTTCACTCTTCCGGGCTGAAAACACCTAGAGGCACTGCCTCCCTGCAACAGCCACGCAAGCGGAAGATCACCCGCCATGACCGCAGCCACACACGACCCTCCACAAAGACAGGGGACGGACTTGATCCACATGAACACCAGGGACAATGGACTAGCGATACTTACCCTTCTGCGGACCCGGAGCTCTTTAAACGGCACACTGTGCTAGATAATCATTGGGACTCCCCTACATTTGTATCACCTCTGCCGCTACTGGGGATCGGATGACCGGGTACCCAAAACCACACCTAGAGGTCCTGCTAACTCACTGAAGACACCGAGTGAAGGGACCTGCCTGATAAGAGACTCCCCATTTATTGTTGAGGAAGTGAGGAATCGGTTGCACAGTTTACTATTCCTAGGCCCAGAACCCAGTGGTATAATGTCCTCAATGCATGCAAGACTCAATGTTTAACTGGCCTGTTTACTCACAGACACGTCTGCCTAGCAATTTTCAGTCTGATGTCACTAGCCTGTATAGTTTCACGACAAGTCATAAGATTGTAATCAGTGGCTCGAAAAAAAAAAGAATACAGCACGTCTTGGATAGCAGTCTATGTACATTATATATACACTACTACTAACTAATCTAACCACACTAGCCTGTTTAATTATCTAGCATATTGAACCCACACTACCTATACTGATACTAGCAGCTTAAGTATTACCTTTACAATTGTACCTTACAGTTATGGATGTGTTAACAATCTACTTATTCTTTTTAAAAAAAAGAGGCAGATGCTTCACGGAGATGATTTCAGCTGTATTGTTATACCCCCGTTTGGAATGTACCTTAACTGTCTCCCCTTCTTTCTTCTGTTCCCATGCAACTCTATGCCTCAATAAAAGAAAGATTGACAAAAAAAAAAAAATGTAAATCTCTTTAATTTGGAAAAACGGCACCTCAGAGGGGATATAATAACATTGTACAAATATATTCGGGGGCCAGTACAAACCATTATCTGGAAATCTATTCATAAACAGGGCTATACATGGGACATGAGGTCACACATTTAGGCTGGAAGAAAGGAGATTTCATCTAAGGCAAAGAAAAGGTTTTTTTTACAGTAAGAGCAATAAGGATGTGGAATTCTCTGCCTTAAGAGGTGGTTTTATCAGAGTCCATACAGATGTTTAACCTGCAATTGGATAAATACTTGCAAAAACATAACATACAGGGATATAATTTTTAATTAGTGGGGTAATAGCTGTTTGATCCAAGGAGACATCTGACTGCTATTTTGGGGTCAAGAATTAATTTTTTCCTAGTTTGTTGCAAAATTGGAAGCGCTTTAGACTAGGTCTTTTTGCCTTCTTTTGGATCAACACAAAAACAAATGTGAGGAAGGCTGAACTTGATGGACACAAGTCTCTTTCAGCTATGTAACTATGTAGT